TCAACTATCTTACAAGTATTTTCCTATTATTTTTATATTGATATTTTAGTAAAGTATCAATAAATGTTTCCACTTTTGAAAATAAACATTGCAATGAATTTATTTATTAACTAATTGTAGATAAGGCATCAGATTGATGTATTTGTTTATTTGGATAAATCTTTCTTTCTAAAGGATACAAACTTATTGTATGAGTTAAATATGTTTTTTTTAAATCCCATAGTGGCTGTAGTTAGCTCCAGAATAAGGATGTATTTTAAGTCTGAAAGCCTTTTAATTAAAATTTCATTTGATTAGCTTAAGTTCTCAATAGCAACCATTTACATATTATAGATAGTACTGCTTCAGGATTTTTTTTTTTTCACTAGAAAATGAGAGTAAATTAATGTATGGCTAAGAGAAATGGAACTTTTTTACTTTTACCTTGACTGCCAAGAAGGTATTTAGGATTCACAAATGAAATGCTCTTAAGGGAAAAATAATTTCAGAGGAATTCATACATTGATTTTTTCTAAATCTTAGAACTTCTATAATAGTATGCTTCACTAAAATATTCATTTATTGCTCACCTCCAATTATAATGGCATCTGATTTTCTATATAAAACAATATCATTTTTGAATATTAAATTGATAGTACATATCTGGTGCCAGCATTATCATGCATTTTCAACAGGTATTGTTGCTCTTGTTATCTGCTTTTGGAAAATGTCTGTTGGTACTTCAGCTTGAAAGACACCATAAATGAACCAAAAGGAGACAACTAATGATTCAGTGAAGAGAATAGAGTAAATTGCCAGCTTTCAAATGAATTGAACTATTTCCTGACACCACTCATCTTAAAATTAACCTGTATATATTCAGTCACCAAGAATACATCAGAAGATAATTAATTATATAATATATTCATAGTTTGTTTAGCCAATTATTTTGTCCTTCAAAGTTTTTGACAGTAACATAAACACAAAGATTGACATAATAAAAATAGGCATCTCAGCATAATAGCTTGTTTAGGGTAAGAGTTAATAAGGAAATAGGAGGACTTCATTAGCATGACTCCCTTGCTGAGTAAGAGGTCAGTATGAAATAGTACTAGCAAGTGATAAAACTTCTAATACAGTGGGGCAAAACTAGGTTTACAGTTGTGAGTAGGTGAAATACCATTTATCTTATATTATTATTTATTAATTAGAGGCCCGGTGCATGAATTCGTGCACCAGTGGGGTCCCTCAGCCTGGCCTGTGGGATTGGGCCAAAACCAGCTCTCTGATATCACCCAAGGGTTCCCAGATTGTGAGAGGGCACAGGCCAAGCTAAGGGACCCCACCAATGGCACAATTGGGGCTGGGGAAGGACACAGGAGGGACATGGGAGAGCTCCAGGGAATGTCCGGCCCATCTTGCTTGTCCTGATCAGCCATACCCTAGCAGCAAGCTAACCTACCAGTCAGAGCATCTACCCGCTGGTGGTCAGTGCTCGTCACAGTGAGCAGTTGAACGGCCTTAGCACATCATTAGTACATTACACTTTGATTGGTTGAACAGATGACCAGAAGACCAGACACTTAGCATATTAGGCTTTTATTATATAGAATTATTGTATTATTTTCCATATGAACAACTGTAAACTTACTTTTGACCCACCCTGTATACATAATTGGGACTTCTGAAGATGTACAGAGCGTCAGAGGCAGTTGTTGAAATGGAAGGGAGTGAGAGAAAACCTAAAATGTGTTATTGGAGTCACTGAAGAAGGAAAACGAAACAAATAAAACTTATATTTAAAACTGTAATAAAGGAAAAAACTTTATAAAAAGCAAAGAAAAAGTCTTCAGGGTATACATTGACAAGGATCACTTGATAGTAAAAAAATCAACCTAAAATTGTTAACTATGAAACACATCCTAGTAAAATTACCAGATTTTAAAAGATAAAGAACATATGTTAAGGGTCTCTAGTCACAAAGAACAAAGGAAAAAAAATGATGTTGCTGAGATGTCTCAAGAAATACATCAAGGCACCCTCAATAAAGCAGTATTTTAAAGACACTCAAGAAAGTGTGAACCGAGGATTTTATATCCAGGAGCCCTTCGTGAGGAATCTACCAGTAAAAGAGCTTTATCCATTAAGAGACGTGTGAGGAAACTCCAGCTAAAGAATTTATGGTGTGCACTACATCAATGTTATTGTAAAGCTAAGACTAAAAGAAAGATAATAAAGATAGCAACAAGAGGAAAAACAGTACATAAATGTTATATGTTCTGACAAAGAAAAATATAGAACATACATGTATCACTCATTAGATCACAAAGAAAGCATTAGTAAATTCCACGAGGTTAAAATGTGAAAAAATACTCTGATTAAAATCCACTAAAATAGAAATTAATAAAATTTTGTAAAAAATAATAATAATGTCTACCTTATTTATAGGTTATATATTAAGTACTGACCAGAAGGAAGTATATAGGTTTAAATATTTATATCAAGAAAAATATATAAGTGAAAATAAATAAATTGTATCATCAAATTAAATATCTAGAAAAAAGCAAACCAAAAGCATGCAAAGGAAGAAGATAATATAAATTAAAAGCTATCAACTAATTTAATCAACAAAAGGAGAAAGCAAAACTATATTAAATAAGAAATGTCAAGTGAAAAATAATCACTGAAACAAAGAATTTTTTTAAAAAATTATGAGACAACTATGCAAAAGTATATGCAAATAAATTTTAAAAACTAAATGAAATTGATAATTTCCTAGAAAATACAAATGTCAACTTTATTTCTTTTGTGGAAATTTATCTGTTTAAACTTTTCATCCCTTTAGTTGTCAAATTTGACATATTGAAGCAAAGGCATTAAATTAAATATTAGCAGACAGACTCCAAACCCATATTAGAAAAATAATTCATCACGCTCACATGGAATTTGCTTCAAGGTTGAAAAGTACTACGGTTTGAATATTTTTCCCCCTCAAATTTCACATGTTGAAACCTAATGACCAATGTGATGTTGGGAAATGGTGCTTTTGGAAGGTGATTAGGTCAGAAGGGAAGAGCCACATGAATGGGATTATTGCCCATATGAAAAAGACCCTAGAAAACCCTCTTGCCGCTTCCACTCTGTGAGGATACAAGAACTCAGCAGTCTGCAAAAAAAGAAAGGGCCCTCACCATGGCCAACATGACCACGTTGGCGTCTGGATCTTGGACATTTTAGCTCCCAGACTGAAATAAATGTCGTTGTTTACAAGCCACCAGTCTCTGGTATTTTGTTATGGCAGGCCAAATAGACTAAGACAAATGGCTAGTTTAGTTTAATATTAGGAAATTCAGTAATACCATGTAACATATTAGTAGATATAAGAAGAAAAAGCATGTGATAATCTCCGTAGATGTGTAAAAAAACATATGACAAAATTCAATACACATTGCTGAAGAAACATTCAAGAAAGTAGAAATTGATGGATATTTCCTTAACATAGTTCTTAAAAAGAATTATATATGTGTGCATGTCTATGTATGATTATATGTCTATGTCAGTGTGTATATCTGAAATTTTATTTATGTTACATTTGATTTATAACACACAATTGGCAAACCTTAGCCATTGTTGAGTCTGAGTGAAGTCTGAGTATTTGTTGTACTATTCTTACAACTTGTCTGTAATTTGTATATTACATCACAGTAAAATATTACAAAATTCATTATTTCTGTATATTGGAGATGAAGAATAGACTAAGCAATGTTTTCTGCTACTTGTTATCCAGTCCTTGCCTTTGACCCTTTTAACCATCCTATATAATAAGAGAGGAGTATGCAAATTAGGCTGGGACTCTGTAACTTCACAACTACTCGGGGTGGAGGGGGAGCAGGGCCTGTGGCCGGGACCTGAGCCTGTGGTGCCTCCTCTGGAGTTGGGGAGCTAATGACCAAGGGGATCCAGCCCCCCTCCAACAGCCCTTTCCAGCAGGCATGGGGTTTCTGCGACCCAGACCGGGCCTCTGGCCACAGATCCACAGTTTCATGGAGACTGACTCTCTCAGGCCGCCCGTAGCCCATGTGGCTGGGCCGCAAGGTGCCCATTCAAGATGTGACAGAGAGAGGAGGTGCGGGAGGAAATCCAGAGAATGGGATGTGGGGGTTCAACACTCACTTCCTTTGGGCTTTGTCCTTCTTGGCCTCGGTCCTTTTCTTTCGGGCCTGGAGCGCAGGCACTGCAGGGGAGAGGGATGGATGGAGGTCCAATGTGGAAGAAAGGAGGTGACCCAGTTGAGGGTGGACGCTGCGGGGCTGCCTGAGGGCGGCTCCCAGGCGAGCACGAAGCAGCCGGCCAGGAGGCGGGCAGCCCAAGGGGCGCAGAGCAGCGCAGCACCGGCCCTCTATGAGGACTCCCCACACAGGCGCTGCCTTCCCCAGGCCGCTCTGGGCGACATCTGCAAATGTAACTGCACCCTCTAACATTCTGGGCAAAGAACTGCCCCTCAGGGTACCGGGCTTGCTAGGAGTGTGCTGTCACCAATGCCACAGATCAAAGGCCAAAACCTGGCGAGCTGGGTTCCACCGGAGGGAGCTTGGGCCAGGGCAGGGAGCCAGTGGGCGGGGATCTACTTCACCTGCAGAGGTTCTGCAGTGGCCCCAAGACTCAGGTAAGTCCTGTGGGGAACAAGGGGCATAGAAGGGCGCCCGGGCAGAGGGGTGCACTTCCTTTAGCCCTGAGGAGGGCTTGAGGGGCAGCACCACCTCAGTGGAGGGGTGCCGCACTGCAGGGTACCCAACTGACTGACGCAATTCAGAGAAGCTCCCAGTGCTAAGCGGGCCTTGCCCAGGGGACCTTCGCACTCCAGAGGCGGCAACTCCTGCTCCCACCTTGGCCCAAAAGCCACCCCACGCCTGCCCTGCCCACTGGCAGCGTACACCTGCGTGGTGAGTGCGAAGCCTACCACCTGCTCCGGAGAAGGGGAGCAGTAAAGAATGAGGGTGTGAAGAAGGGGCGAGGAAAGAATGTGGAGCATCTGCGATGAAGAGGTGCTTAAGGAGGAGGCTCAGAAGCCTCATAGGAAGGTTTGTTCTGTTTTCCCCGCGGCTGCCCCTTAGGAAGGGCGGAGAGCACGGTTGTGAGGGCTCCCTGCGCGCTGAGTGCCTGCGGAACTGGAATTGGCCTCAGTTTCCTGGTCTGTAAAATGGGTTAAGCGTGTACCAGTGCCTTCCTGAGCTTTGAGGACCAATTGAGATACTATATAAAGAAAATGAGGGAAAAAGTGAGAAAGAAAAGGAAGGACAAGCAACACAAAAGAAAGACTGGAAGGAACCTGTAAACCTATTGTCACTTAAATAGGGAATATATTCAATAGTGCTGTAATGACGGTATGATGCCAGGTGGGTACTGGAAATATCGGGGAACACTTTGTAAAGTATATGGTTGTCTAACCACTATTCTGTAACTAATATAAAACCTGAAACTAATACAAAATAATATTGAATGAAAATAGGAGTGGAATTTTTCTAAATTTTAAAGTTTAAATAAAGGCTGTACAGGAAGGAAGGGGGAGAATAAAAATAGTGTTTTTCATTTTACCAGTTATTGTCTCTTCAGTACATGGAAATACAGTCGTCTTTATATGATGCTTTTATACTTTTCTAAGTCATTGTCTCATTTGATGTTCAGGGCAACTTAAAGACAAGATAATTATTCCCTCCACTATTCAAAGAAAGGAAATCTTGGTGTCTGGCCCCAATGATTCAACTGTCAAGCCCTTATTATAAAGCAGAGTTAGTGAAGTTTTTGTGAAGGGTCATATCTATACTAATAAAAGCCTTGGGGGTGATCAAGCCAGCAGTGGAGGGCAGTTGGGGGCAATCAGGCTGGCAGAGGAACAGTTAGGCATCAATCAGGCCGGCAGAGGAGCAGTTCAGGGGTGATCAGGCTGGCAGGCAGGCGAGTGGTTAAGAGCCAGTGGTCCTGGATTGTGAGAGGGATGTCTGACTGCCGGTTTAGGTCCGATCCTGGATCGGACCTAAACCGGCAGTGGACACCCAATGAGGGTTCCCAGATTGGAGAGGGTGCAGATCTAGCTGAGAGATAACCGCCCCCCCCCCATGAATTTCATGCACCAGGCCACTAGTCCTATATAATAAAACCCTACTATGCAAATGGACCAAATAGCAGAATATGCACCAGGCCACTAGTCCTATATAATAAAACCTTACTATGCAAATGGACCAAATAGCAGAACGACCAGTGGGATAACTGGTTGCTATAATGTGCACCGACCACCAGGGGGCAGATGCTCAGTGCAGGTGCTACCCCAGCCTGCAGGCTCCAGGCCAGCTAAGGCGGGTGCCAATGGGGGCCCCCCTGATCAATCCACCAGTTACTCCACAGAGGGAGGCGATTGGCAGCAGCAGTGGGAGCCAGGGCCGGCAAATGGGTGGTGCCAGGCCAGCCAAGGTGGGTGCCAACAAGGGCCCCCCTAATTGCCCTGCTGATCACCCACAGATTGGCCCTGATCGCTGGTCAGGACTAGGGATCCTACCTGTGCACAAATTTCATGCATTGGACCTCTAGTGTTATTATAATAGACTCCTCACCTGGTGGTTCCTGTTATAACCACAATCACTATTACTGCCATTTACTAAGTATATTTCAATGTTGACATATAATGTTACATCACTGGATTTCCACGCCCCTCCCCACCCCCAAAAAACACTAAAAAAAACCTGATAGGATGGTGGAGTTACAGTTCCACCTATACTAATAAAAGGGTAATATGTTAATTAGACCAGATAGACCAGACTTCTTCCGGATGTCCGTCTGGACCAAGCCACAGTGGCAGGGGCCAAGGCAGAGGTAGTTAGGGGTGATCAAGCCAGCAGGAGAGAGCAGTTAGGGGCTATCAGGCCAGCAGGGAGAGCAGTTAGGGGCAATCAGTCTGACAGGGGAGAGCAGTTAGGGGTGATCAGGCAGGCAGAGGCAGTTAGGGTGATCAGGCAGAGGCAGTTAGGGGTGAACAGGCCAGCAGGGGAGCAGTTAGGGGTGATCCAGCAGGCAGGCAACGACAGTTAGGGGTGATCAGGCAGGCAGAGGGGTTAGGGGCGATCAGGCAGGCAGGCAGAGTGGTTAGGGGCAATAAGGCAGGCAGGCAGGTGAGCAGTTAGGAGTCTGCAGTCCCAGATTGTGAGAGGGAAGCCCAACTGCCTGTTTAGGCCTGATGGGATCGGGTCTAAACTGGCAGTCGGACATCCCCCAGGGGGTGCCAGATTGGAGAGGGTGTAGGCTGGGCCGAGGGACTCCCCCTGCCTGGCCTACACCCTCATAAACTTCATACATGCACGAATTTCATGCACTGGGCCACTAGTTTTATATAAGAAGAAACTGAGCCTTCTAGGGACAAAATGGCTTGTTAATGGTGACTAGGCCAGTAAGTGATACAGCCTAGACCAGGGGTGGGGAACCTTTTTGTGAGTGCATGCCAAAACCAGCAAAATCTCTGACTCAAAATTCTTCTGCGTGCCAACCCTAATTTTTTGAGAACATGTTGCGCCTACTTGATATCTCTTAAGGTGTATGTATGTGAAGAACCTTGAAGAAATAATAAAATTCATTCGAGTGACAAAAACACAGTATATGATGATGAAAAATACATTTATTTTTTAATGTATACATGTACACTGATAGTCCAACAGAAAATTCCGTTAGGCAGGGCGAGTTAAGGCAGAGGCATAGAAATTGCTCTTCCCCTCTCTCACCAATCCATGTCTATGGTCTTTAAGATAACTTGTTATGTAAAATTATTTATCTAAGATGAACCTACACTGAATTTATCTGAAAAATAAAAAAGTTGATATTAAGAAAAAAGTTGTAAATGGAAGATTATAAGAGAGGGATTCGCGTGCCAGCAAAAGTTACTGGTGTGCCATGTTTGGCACGCGTGCCAGGGGTTGTCCACCCCTGGCGTAGACTGAAGTCCATGTCTTCTGGCTTCCTTGCTTTTTGCAGTCTTTTCTCCAATGTAACCATTTAACCCATAAAACAGATTAGTCTTTCTATATACTTTTATTTAAACGTGGGAACCATGCCCTGGGCTTCTTTTGCATCCCTATAGTACATAGAATGGTGGTTTGCACATAATAAACAATAACACTGTTGAATTGAGTTATATTACAACATAGTGTGAATAAATAGAAAGGGCAAGAGAAAAGAATAAAAGTCTGCCCTGAATTAGTTCTCTGGGTATATTGATTCTGCTTATCTGAACTTTCACTTAAAGAGTAAAATTTATTAGCTAACACAAAGAAAAAGTCAGATAAATGAATATGAGTGGAAGATTGATTATTTAAAGGTAGTGTTTATTTGTCTGAACTTTTGCCTAAAGAGTAAAATTTATTAGCTAACACAAAGAAAAAGTTAGATAAATGAATATGAGTAGAAGTTTGATTATATAAAAGTAGTGTATAAAATGTAATTAAAAGATGCACGATATTTTACTAGTATTTTCACTAGTATTTTCAATAGAGGTGGGAATTCTATTGACAGTAAGTTCTAAATAGGGGAAATATGCCAAGGAGCTTGTTAGGTCTTTCACACAGTCTGTTTGATAAGTTCTTGTCTAGACATAGGGTAGTTAACATCATGTAATTTTATGGTCATAAATCTTCAAGTACATGAAGGACTGTCAGTCACTGACCATTGCTTAAGAGACAAGGTTAAAATTTACTCAGTCAACATTTTATTGAACAACTAGAGGCCTGGCACACATAATTCATGTGCGGGTAGGGTCCCTAGGCCTGGCCTGTGATCAGGGCCATCTTCCTCAGCTGCTGGCAGCCAGCCCCGCCCCCTGCTGCCACCGATCCAGGTTCCCAGTTTGCCATTGGCCGATGGGAGCCCGCAGGCTGAGGGGAGAGACCAAGAGATTAGCTGTTCTGCCTGCTCCCTGGCACCACCCCCGCCGAGGGTTGCCCTCTGTGTGTGGGGGACCAGTGGGGCAGGGGCCTTGGCCTGGTGCCTCCCGCATCCCCCACCGCCCACCCCCGGGTCCCTGTTCACCATTGAACGATGGGAGCCTGCCTTCTGGGGAAAGGACCCAAAGATGGTCAGTGCACCTCATAGTGACTGGTCGAGCAGTCATTCTGGTCGTTCTGTCATTATGGTTGCTAGGCTTTTATTATATAGGATAGCATATATAAAGCATACATATCATAGGTGTCCAGCTGGCTAAATTTTCACATGCAGAACTTATCTGTTAACACATTTCATACCGCATAGAAATCTCTAAGACATACGCCAGGGGCTGCACGTTTTTGGGCAAACTGCATGGTATTTAAATCATCATAATGTACTTTATGTGTTGTTTTTCAATAATTATAACATTTTTACTTACAAAAACAATTAAACAATTACACTGGACAGATTTGTCTCTGGTTCTGGAGAGCCTTCATTATTGTCATCCGTTATCCAGTCTCTCGCCACCGATAGCAGAAACTGTTTATACTTCATTTTTGCTTGTGGATTGAGGACGTTGTACACTCTGAATGCATTGAAAAGTCCACAGTTTATAAGGAACAGCACTACTTTTTTTGTCCATTTCATCGTTTTCCTTAGAATGCAACAACACGAAAGGAAGTATATCAGTTTCGTTGGTTTCCTTCCTTTTCTGAGAAAGGGCATTTCTACAAGCGCCAGGAACTTGAAGACGAAGACTATTTGAATGACCAAAATATAGTGTAACTGCAATACTTTATGGGTTCGTGCAATTATATAGTTTTTCGTAGATTGACCTGCACGGTTTCCACCAATGAGATTGCTTTATTTGATGTGGACAAGACAGTGTGTTGACATTAAGGTCCATAACAGATGGCGCGTGAAAAACGAGAAATCTCCTGAGCAGTTCTTAACAGATGGCGTGCGAAACACGAGCAAGCTCGTGAGCGGTACGAAAGGTGTTAACAGAACTGTAGAAGCCCCTACCATGCTCTTTTTCCAGTCATTACCTAAATCCCTCTAATAAAGTTACTCACTGCTTTGACTTTTAACACCATGCAATAGTTTTGCCTGTTCTGAAACTTAATACAAATCAAATTATAGTATGTATTCTATTTTGCACACTCAACATTATTTTTGTTATTTTACACAAAAATACTTGATGCATATTGTTACATCAAATTATAGTTTGCTCATTCTCATTATTGTATTGTATGCCAATGCACAAATATGTCACATTGATTCATTTTACTTTTGAGGTTTATTTGGATAGTTTCTGCTTTTAGGCTACTATAAATTGTGCTTCTATGAATGTTCTTATACACATCTTTCAGTCAATATACATAGATATATCTGTCGTAGATATTCTCAATGAGTGGACTTACATATGTTCAGTATAGTACATATTGCAAAATAATTTTCCAAAGCAGTTACACCAATTCCTTTTCCCACCAACAGTGTATAAAATTTCTAATTACCCCAAATCTTCACCAACTTGGTATTGTCTCTTTTTCATTGTAGCCATTTTAGTAGGTATGTAATGAATTAATTAAAATACACTTGTTGGCTATTTGGATTTCTTTTGTGAACTACATTTTCTATCTTTTGCACATTTTTTATTGAGTTGTCTGACATCTTAATATTTTAAAATTCTTTATGTATCATAAATATGCATTGTAGCATTTTGTTGAATATTTGTATTGCAAATATTTTTCCAGTCTATCGCTTGCTTTTTACTCTTTGTGTCTTTCTATAAATAGAAGTTTTTAATTATAACAGTACTGGAGGCCCAGTGCACAAAATTTGTGTGGGGGGGTTGGTGCGGGAGGGTGTTCCCTCAGCCCAGTCTGCACCCTCTCCAATCCGGGACCCCTTGAGGGATATCCAACTACCAGTTGGAGATCGGGCCTAAACCTGCAGTCGGACATCCCTCTCAATTTCTGCTGACCTGATCTCCCCCAACTGCCTCCCTCCTGCCAGCCTAGTCACCCCTCACTGCCCCCCCTGCTGGCCTAATTGCCCCCAACTGCGCCCCCCTGCTGGCCTGGTTGCCCCTCATGGGACCCTGCTGGCCTGGTTGCCCCTGGTAGCTTGCTGTTCAGTCATTTGGTTATCCCTCACTAACCCCCCAGCTGGCCTGGTCACCCCACACAGCCTGCTTGTTCAATTGTTTGGTTGTCTCTCACTAACCCCTCTTCCGGCCTGGTCATAGGCAGCCATCTTGTGAGGGCATGAGGGTTAATTTGCATATTACCTCTTTATTATATAAGATAATTTACTGATAACTTCCTTTATAATTAATGCTGTTTTTGTCCTGTTTAAGTAATCATTGCATACCCAAGATCATGAAAATAATCTCCCATGTTTCCTTCCAAAAGCTTTATTGCTTTGGTTTTCAATTTTAGAGATACAATCTCTCTAAAATTCATTTTTCTTTGTGCCAAACCATGTTTAAGGAAGTTGTATGATATAAAGAGAAAGCTTAGATCCTAAAGCCAGACAGATCTAAGGAATAATAACATATGTAAAACTGCATGCCCAAGAATATTTTCTTAGGAATAATGATGATCTAAAGCTAATTTAAAATGATGAGGTAATTCTCATTTTATTGACATAAAAATTGTTGATTAAACAGAGTGGGCTATAGAACATAAAATATTTACACATATTATATTCTCACATATTTATAAATAGATAAATTCAGAGAGTGTTATTTGAAGGGTATTCAGTCATAGTTTAACATCATATCTGTGAATCATGGAATTTCTGATAATCTTTATTTCTTCTTTGTATTTTGTTGTTTGAATTTTTTTAATGATTATTTTTTAATGAACACCCCAAAATAAATATGAAAAATCACTCTTATTAAAATATATACAAGTACATAAAGGAATAATCTCCCATGTTTTCTTCCAAAAGCTTTATTGTTTTACTTTTCAATTTTAGAGATATAATTTCCTTTTCAGAGATATAATAGAGGAAAGGAATTATCCAGGGACAACCACATAACCTTTAGGATTTTTCCATTCAATATTTCTGTTTGTTTTTTTTTCATCCTTTTAAAATGTTTTTCTATATAATAAAAGGCTAATATGCAAATTTCCCCCTCCACTGGGAGCTTGACCAGGAGTTCCATGAGGGGGCAGGGCCAGCCGGCCAACCTCCAATGGCCCTTCCCCCCATCCAGCCCAGCCCAATTGGCCCCAATCGGGGCAGGCTGGCCAGACACAAATTTGTATATTATTTTTAATTGAATTTATTGAGATGACAGTGGTTAATAAAAGTATATAGGTTTCTGATGTACAACTCTATAATACATCGTCTGTATATTGTACTAGAGGCCCAGTGCATGAATTCGTGCACAGGTGGGGTCCCTCAGACTGGCCAGCAATCAGGGCCCATCGGGGCCAGGCTGGCAGTGGGGGAGGGCCACAGGAAATTGGCCTGCCAGCTCCACCCCCAATCAGGGTGGGGTGAGGAGGCCAATCGGGGGCCAGGCTGGCCAGGGGGAGGGGCCTAGGGAGGTTGATCACCAGCCCCCTCAATGGGGCCAATCAGTGCTGGCCAGCCATGGGGAGGAACTGGGGGAGGTTGGCTGTCCATGGAAGGTTGGCTGTGGGAGTGCACTGGTCACCAGGGAGCAGCTCCTGTGTTGAGCATCTACCCCCCGGGTGGTCAGTGTGTGTCATAGCAACCGGTCATTCTGGTCATTCTAGTCGCTTAGGCTTTTATATATAGAGATTGTGTGTTCACCACTCCCAGACCCTCTGGCAATCACCATACAGTTGTCTGTGTCTGTGTTTTGCTTTTTCCTTTGTTTAATCCCTTCACCTTTTTCATCCTTTTTCTTGGCAAAGATGGGTGGCTGTTTCATCCTTTTGTAATAAGTGTAATTCCTATTTAATTAGATTTCTGAATCTGGGGAGAGAGAGGCTTTAACATAAGAACTCCTTATGCTCAAAAACAAATTTATTCCTGTAATGAAAAATAGTGATTCATGATAGAAATGTATGACTTTTAATCTTTATCTCCATGATGTTACAAAATAATGAACCAATACCTCAATATCTTTGTATATTTATTATTGGAGCCAGCTAGTTCAGCTGTGTGTACTTTGTCTTCCTGTCAAAAATATGATTGAATATACAATTCTTCAGTGCTCAGATAATTTTCCTCTCATGACTCTGTATATGTTGTTTCTTTATCCCACAGCTTCTAGTGAATACAAGAGTCACAGGCCAGCCTGTTGTAATTGTATATGTGTTTTCTTCCTGTTTAGGATCCTTTAAGAATTGCTTATTTTATTCCTTCAAACATTTTGCCAAAATGTTTGTGTCTATTCATTAGTATGTAGATGTGAGTATATTTACTAGTGGAGAATTCCTTAACTTCATACTTGTTTTGCTCTCCCACTCCCCCTACCGCAAAATAATTTAATTGTGCCTTTTATTGTTCTGCTCCATTTGTTTAACTTTTTCTCTTATGTTGGATCTGCTGTCCAGTCGTAGAAGTCTCTCTGATTTCTATGTCAGTCATTTATTGTCTAATCTTCTAAGAATTACCCCTACATTTTGAAAATTTTTAAGCTGTTCTTCAAATTACTTGGTTGTTTTTCTAAATTTTCTATTTTGTTCTTTACATTTCTGGTATTTTTTTAAAAAGGTATTAATTTTTGAAAATGTAATAGATGTATAATTAGGACAAAAATTTATGTATATAAAGTTTTTCTTGGATACCTGTTAAGTCATTGTCCCCAAATATGATCACTATTTCAAGTTTCTTGTGTATTTTCAAAAATTTTCCAAGCATATGCATGTATTTATGTAAATATATTTGTCATTTTTCACACAAAGGGTAATATATTGTCTATACTAGTACTCCAATGTACCTTGCTATTATCCTTAACAGTATAACTTGGGGCTCATACTATATAAACACATTTAGAATCTACCTCATTCTTTGGAGAAAATTCTATTTTCAATAGAATGGATGCATAAAAAAAGCATTTATTTCCATATCAATAAATACATAGATTATTTTTAGTATTTTGCTAAGATAAATACCTTTGGGAACATACTTTCTGTTTGCATGTACAAATATATTTAAAAGTAGAATTCTTAGAAGTGAAATTACCAAAAGTTTTGGCATTTAAAATTTTGACATATATTGCCAATTGTTCCCTAACAAACAAAAGGTATAATTTCTATTTTTTAATCTGATAGAGAAATTCCATCTCAATACATTTTTATTTCTTTAAATATGAATGAAGATATGCATTTTTCATATGTTTAAGGATAATTCTAAAGAAATTATCAGTAAAGTTAAAAATAAATATTATCACCAATAATAAAACTAAAAGTAATAAATATTTAGGATGTTTTACCCACTTCTTGCTAAAATATAAATTATGTAAAGCCTTTTTCACCTTTGTTCATGACTCATCAATTGTTTCCATTTCCTCTGTAAGTAATAAAGAGATGATGCCAACTCAGGAAGCTGAGGAAAAAATAGCTTTGTTAATATCCACCACAAAGAAAAAGCCCTATGTTTTATTTTTGTATGCTGTAAATAATTGATGGAAATCAATTTTATCTTACAAAAGGAATCTAAACTACAGGTACATTTAAATAAGTAATGAGAAAATATACAGGAAACTATAAGGTGTGAAATCCATAAAGATTTGAGTCTTTTAAGAAAAAGTTACAATGATTTTGCCATAAAATCTACATACTTCTGAGAAATACATGAAACTGATTAAGAGTAGTTTATATGAGCTATGTGTATGTGGAAGAAAAATTATGTTTATATTTTATTGGCAATTCTTAATAAAACTTTTATTGACGTAGACAGGGCCTTTTATGTTAATACAGAAAATTAGACCTATCTTTGAAGACACAGCCGTGACTTTTCCCCATGTGAAGTTATAAACCAGCAAACTTGTAG